GGAATTCTTATGACAGGTTCTACAAATCTTTGGTTTCCCTCCTTATAGGATTCATATTATTCGGCAATGTGTCCCTATAGTTTCCTACCAGATTCTTGTTAATGGTAATCCAACATAGGTCTTTAGGCCAGCTTGTGGTCTTCGTCGGGGAGATCCACTTTCCTCATATTTATTCGTTCTTTGTATGGAGATTTTCTCGGCCATAATTCGAAGAGCAGAAAGAGATGGGATTTTCAGAGGGATTCGAGTTTCTCGTTATGCTCCTTCAATCTTCCATCTGTTTTTTGCTGATGATTCTCTCTTGTTTTTCTAGCCTTCTCCACAGGCCTGCTCCTAGGTGCTCCATGTGGTGCAACAATTCTGCGATTTGTCATGTCATACGGTAAATTTGCAAAAATCCTTTGTTCGGTTCAGCCCTATTGTTCCAAATGATTACAGGGATTATTTAGCCTCTTCTTTGTGCTTGAAGGCTCACTTCTCTGGGCTCGTACTTAGGTCATCCTGTTGACATTGGCAGAAGTAAATGTAAAACTTTTCGGCCCCTTGTTGATAAGATTGCCATTCGCTTGGCTACTTTCGCTCCTTTGCACCTCTCAGCGACAGCTAAATTGGTTATTAACTCTATTCTCGTCGCCTCTCTTAATCATGTCCTGTCAGTATTTAAGATCCCGTCCTCTATTACAAATAAAATTAATAATATGTTAGTTCGTTTTTGGTGGAAGACAAGCTCTCAATCTAAAGGCATGGCTTTTGCTCCATCTTCCCTCCTTTTTATGCATAAAGATTTCGGCGGTTTAGGTATTCATCTGCATCTGGGTATTTTCAATTCTACCTTGTTGGCCAGGCAGTCTTGGCGTATTATGCAGAATCCTCAACTCCTAGTTTCTTGTGTTCTCCGTGCTAAGTATTCCTCGCTTTTACATCTAAGCTCTGAAATTCGCATTTCCAGACCATCTTGGGGATGCGAAAGTGTACTAGAGGGTCTTCAAACTTCAAAAATTGGTCTTAGTTGGAAGGTTGGGAATGGTTCTCAGGTTCGTATTCCTCTGGATTCTTGGGTTCTAGGTACTTCTGTGCAGTTTAAGGATTCTCTTGCTGGATCGGTTCAGCCAACTCTGGTGTCTTCTCTTCTGGATCCTAACACCAAATTTGGGATTCTACCTTGGTACATGCTTTATTCCCTCCTTCCACAGTTCCACGGCTACCAAAATCCTTAGCCTTGAGCGTCCTCCCCAGCTTATGGATGACTATGTTTATTGGAAATTCACTCGAGACGGCGTTTTCTCCTCCAAGTCGACTTACGCCATTTGATCCAAGGGTCGGAGTGGTTTCCTCAAATGTCTTCCTCTATTTATCCTCTCCATTGGAATAAGTTGTGGGAACTTCCTATTCTCCCCAAATGGAAACTCTTTTCTTGGAAAATTTTCCATGACGCCTTCCCAGTGGTGATAAAGTTGAGAAACAAGGGTCTCCCTATAGATCCTCTTTGTTCCTTTTGCCATTTAGTTCCTGATTCGATAGAGCATCTCTTTATTCATTGCTCATTTACTCGACGCCTCTGGGTTTGTATCCCTTTGGGTATTCATCCTCCCGCTCCTAATCTTTCTTTCCTGTAGTGGTTTGCCTCGTTACTTTCTACTGCCATTACACTTAGGGATTGATCGGGTGTAGACTCCATTTTATCTTTCGCCTGGGCTATTTAGATTCATAGAAATAACATCTGTTTTCGAAACGCGCTCTGCTCCCCTATCGTTGTCTTCCAAATCGCGCAAGATTGGGGTCTTCGTAGTTCAGCCTCCAGGGATCTTTCTCCTTTGGTTGTTACTCCACCTCCTGGCTTTGATTCCCACGTTTTTTTCTTTTACTCTTACAAGAAATGGAACTGCCTCTCCGGCAGTGACTCTCATCATGAATGATGCCTGGGATTCTCAGGACTGTAGAGCAGGTATTGGCTAGTGCTTCTATTCTTTGGATACTGGTATCAGGCTAGGTGGCGCTACTCGGGCTTGCTTCGCCCTTTCAGCTTCTCAGGTGGAGTTACTTGCTTGTCTCTTTGCTTTACGGATGGCTCTTCAGCGCGTGTTCACCCAGGTTATTCTTCAAACTGATTGCATGTCATCTCTTTCTACCCTGCGAAGCAATGCTTTCAAGGACATATCCACTGTTTGTATTCAACAACAGCTCTAGGATATCCTTCCTTCCTTTCAAGTGTGTCTCGGTCAGAAGGTTTCTCGGGATGCTGTTCTTCCGGCTCATTGTCTAGCTGCGTCAGCTAGGAAACGTCAGTTACTTAGCTACTTTTACTAGTTTTGTTCCCTTTCTTTTGTGTTGACCTTTGTCAAAAAAAAAAAAAACCGTAAAAATAACTCTTTTGACTCTAGCTATAATCTCAAACAATTGGGCCTTTACTTTATAGTATTCATAGAATATTGTTTTTATTTCTATTAAAGTAGTAATTAATAGCATGTTCAAATCAAAACATACAAGACATATAGAATATGCTTCTTCATATATACTCATTCCTAGTGTTTATTGTATAAATATATATGAAAATAATGTTTATTTTTAATATACAAAATATTCATAATATTTTTTGACGTGTTCTTTTTAAATACTACATGTTCATTTTTTAAATGTGTTCATATATTTTTATGAAATATTCATTTTTATTATCGAAAATGTTCATATTTTTTGACGTGTTCACTTTTTATTTCTAAGACCCTGTTCACTTCACCTTACAAAAATAATATTCAGTAAATATAATTTCAGTTCAGCAAAAATAGTTTCACTTCAGTAAAAATTAGTACCTTTAAGAAGAAAATATAACAGAGAATCAGTTAAAATAATTTCAGTTAAGCAAAAATAATTTAAGTTCAATAAAATTAATTTCAGTTTACTAAATATAATTTAAGTTCAGCAAAAATAATTTCAGCAAATATAAGGTGAAGTGAACAAGGTCTAATTGTTTATTTTTTTTTAATGTGTTCATAATGCTTTTATTTTTTTATGTGTTAATTTTTTAATTACTAAATGTTCATTTTTATTACATGTTCATAATTTTTTAACTAAATATTCATTTTTGAAGGTTGTTGTCCAACAATTCTATAATTATATGATACGAGTAACTATGTCCGATTATAATACTTAATGGTCATTTCTTTTAACGTATCCGCTTTCTACTACTAAAGGTCGGTTCACTTCAACTTAATTTCAGTTCAGCTCAGCTCCAATCAGTTCAGTTCATTTCAGTTCCTAATTTTCTTTTCTTATAAAATATTTATCTCAGCTCTATTTAATTCAATTCAGCTCACTTCAGTAAATATGAACAGACCCTAAATTTTTGTTTTTTTTACAATGTTTTTTTTAAGTATTCATATTTTTTTAGTAAATGTTCATTTTATAGCGTATGATCCTAGCTGCACGACCAAGGTGTAGCTAAAACTTATTGCCAATTTATAACCAGATAATTCTAGAGCTGTCAAAAGCTGATTCGATCCGAAATACCGACCCAAACCCGATTATTAACTTACCCATTTGAACCCGAAAAAATGGTGGCCCAAACCCGACCTGAAACCAACCCTAGACTTGAGTTGACCCGAGTATGTGAGACACTGAGACCCGAACCCAAACATGAACTGACCTAGAGATGACCTGACCCGAATGTAACCCGTAAATTATTGACCTGAACCAAACCCGACTTGAATCGAAATTGACCCAAACCCGTTTTAACCCGTCAAAACCCGAATTTAACCCGACTTGTTACTAAACCGACCTGAATTCAACCTGACCCATTCCTAACCCGACCCGAAATCAACCCGACATATTATTGACCCGACCCAAATTCAACCCGACTTGTTATTGACCCGACTCGAATTTTGCCCCAACCTATTACTAACCCGACCCAAAAATTCAACCCAATCTGTTATTAACCCGACCCAAAAATTCAACCTGATATGTTACTAATTTGACTCGAAATCAACAAGAGTTGTTAAGTTGTTATGACCCGACCTACATTCAACCCATATTATTCCTGACCCGATTTCAAATCACCTTAAATGCAATATAGACCACCTTATTATTGTTGATCAAAGCATTTTGTCTAGGGAGACCAAGTCGGTCCACGGTAGCAAAAGAAAGGAGCATCATCCCCAAATTTAAGAGTTAAATATAGCATATATTTGTTGTATGGTCAAAGGAGATAATTATCTTCCTAAATTATAGACTACAGTTCCCTAGTATTTGCCATATATATTATATACAAAGGAAATAATTAACTTGATAAAAATGATAATTATCTATTTATAGTTAGTTAAACCCCAATATGACCCGACTTGGAAATGACCCGACCTGATTGTAACCCGCAAATTATTGACTTGAACATACCCCGACTTGAACCCGAGAATGACCCAACTTGGAAATGACCCAACCTGATTATAACTCGCAAATTATTGACTTGAACCGAACCCGACTTGAACCCGAGAATGATCTGACTTGAAAATGACCCGACCTAATTCTAACCCGCAAATTATTGACTTGAACCGAACCCGACTCAAATCCGAGTATTACCCTAACCTGTTTTAACCCATGAAAACCTGACCTATTGTTCACTCGACCCAGACCTGTTATTAACCCGACCTAAACCCAACCCAAACCCGATAAAGATGTATGACCCGACGTGACCCGACTCAAGCTTGACCCAACCTGAACCCGACCCGCATAAATTACGACATTAACCCGAATTGACCCGACCCACTTCTACCCGACTCATTTACCCGAATTGACAACTCTAGTCTCTAGACATAATTCAAGTACTATAGACACTTGCGGAGTAATACTTGTAGAATCCTTAAAACAATAAAACCTAGCAAGGCTAGCAGCAGCAGGCAGGACAAATATAAGATTCGAGCATTGGAAAACATTTTACAGAATAAACCAATCACAACCATTAGATTAAAACCATTAGATTAAAACCATTAACGGTCTTAAATTTTAAGTACTCTTCACACAGATTGACCTTATTTACCGTCAGATTAAACCACATCCAATGGCTGTAAATAGTTACAAACAAAATCAACAATTCCCTCCAAAACCAAATATTCAAAAAATTTCAACACCATCCTTATATAAACCCACCCCAAAAATCTTATTTCCCACCCCAATTAAAACATCAATTTCCACCAAAAATCCAATCTAAACTTAAAAACTCAAATTCGGAATCTCGAGAACGAGAAAATGTCAGGAAGAGGGAAGGGAGGAAAGGGGTTAGGAAAGGGAGGAGCAAAGAGGCACAGGAAGGTTTTGAGGGATAACATCCAAGGTATCACTAAACCCGCCATTCGTCGCTTAGCGAGGCGAGGTGGAGTTAAGAGGATCAGCGGCCTTATTTACGAGGAAACTCGCGGTGTATTGAAGATATTTTTGGAGAATGTGATTAGAGATGCTGTTACCTACACTGAGCATGCTCGCCGTAAGACTGTTACTGCTATGGATGTTGTCTATGCTCTTAAGAGGCAGGGCCGTACTCTCTACGGGTTTGGTGGTTAGAGTATAATAAGTTTTAGGGTTTTTATTTTGGATTTGAGTTTTGATGTAATTTGAGATTTGATTGTTAATGTGAAATATATGAATTAAATATTTGCTAATTTGCAGTCTCTGTTGTTTTTGTATTCTTTACTTTCGTAGTTTTGTTTGTTATTTGAATTTGATCTTCAAAATTACGAATTGAAAAATGATCATGTTATTAGATCTAATTTTATTGTTTTTGAAATATGTTTAATTGGTGGTTTGAAGTTTGTTGAAAAATGTTGCTCTTAGTTGAGTTAATTTGCTCAATTTATGGTGGAATTTCAATAATAAAATCGCAGTTCAATTTATTTATGAACAGATTTTGAATCAAAGAAAAATGAAGGACAACAGATAAGTTGACCTCAATACTTTGTATTAATATAAATTTGAAGTGTCATTTCTACTCAGAACGTATTTGCTTTTGATATTCGGTATTGGTAGAGTTGTATTGAACAAATTTGGGGAATGGGGATGAACATTATCATACTCAGTCACTCACCCTTCATTTGCCTTGACTGTATCATTGGGTGAAAGAATGTATGGAATATTTTCCTCAAAGGGATTCTCATTGATCTGTACAATATATAACCGATTACAATGCATAATCTAAGGCTATAAACTAGGAACAGCTATACAAGAATATTTACTTAACATAACAGAAATATATTTACATATATATCTTAACACACCCCCACAGTCGAAGTGGGAGGACCACGAACGCTAAGACTGTCACGAAAATCCTCAAAAAAAACTCGCGGAAGACCCTTAGTAAAGATATCCGCAATCTGATGTCTAGAAGGCACATGTAGAACCCGAACTTCCCCACGTGCAACATTCTCTCGGACAAAATGAATATCCATCTCTATGTGTTTTGTACGTTGATGTTGTACTGGATTTCCTGACAAATAAATAGCACTTACATTGTCACAATAAACCAGGGTAGCCTTTTTAATCAGACAATGTAACTCCAAGAGAAGATTCCGAATCCAGGATGATTCAGAGACAACATTAGCCACCCCACGATATTCGGCCTCTGCACTAGATTTAGACAATGTGGGTTGGCGTTTAGATGACCAAGAGATTAAATTATCCCCCAAAAATACACAATAACCAGATGTTGATCGTCTCGTATCAGGGCATCCCCCCCAATCTGCATCAGTATATGCAACTAGAGAAGAAACAGAAGAGGGATACAAATGTAGGCCATAATCAAGAGTACCCTGAACATACCGAATAACCCGTTTGAGAGCAGCCATATGATCAACTCTGGGGTCGTGCATATGAAGACAAACCTGCTGAACGGAATAAGAAATATCCGGTCTGGTGAATGTGAGGTACTGTAGAGCCCCTGCAAGACTCCTATACAAAGATGGATCATCAAAAGGAGCACTAGTAGTAGCGCCGATCTTGGGCTTCGTGTCAATCAGTGTTTGAGACGGTTTACACGATGACATCCCTGCACGGTCAATTATTTCTTCGGCATATTTACGCTGTGAAAGAAACAAACCACCCTTATGTCGAGTCACAGCAATACCCAAAAAATAATTCAGAGTACCGAGGTCCTTCATAGCAAACTCAGAGCTAAGAAGAGATATAATGGAACGACGAAGAGCATCAGAAGAGGCAGTGAAAATAATGTCATCCACATATAACAAAAGGTAAGCCATGTCCGACCCTTTGCGGTAGATAAACAAAGAGTTATCCATCTTGCTGTTAGTAAATCCAAGAGGCAACATATAATCAGCAAAACGCTTATACCAAGCCCGAGGTGCCTGCTTAAGTCCATAAAGAGACTTATTTAACAGACAAACATAATCTGGATGATCCTTGTCCCTGTAACCAACTGGTTGATGCATATAAACTGTTTCCTGTAACTCACCATGCAAGAAAGCATTCTTGACATCCAACTGATGGATAGGCCATGCCTTCGACAAAGAAAGGCTAAGAACAGTGCGGATGGTGGCCGGTTTGACAACCGGACTGAATGTCTCACCACAATCAATGCCAACATGTTGAGTTTTACCATCACCTACAAGACGGGCTTTGTGCCTCTCAAAATCACCGTTAGACTTGACTTTATGAGTAAAAATCCACATAGAACGAATAACATTCACATTAGGTGGACGGAGCACCAACTCCCACGTCTTATTTTTAATAAGAGCACTAAATTCATCATCCATGACCATTTTTCAATTAGGATCACGTAAATCCGCGACCGGATTACGAGGTAAAGGAGACCTCGTGACAACAACATTGGAAAAATATTTCTTATTTGGCTTAACATTGCCATTCTGACTTCTAGTCACAATATTAGGCTTATGGAGTTGAATGTGGGTAGAAGAAGGAGTAGGTGGGCCGTTTTGTTGTTGGGCCAATGGAGAGAGTAAGGGTGAGGCTTTTTGTGGGCTGGAAGGAGATGGAGGTCCAAGCGCCTCTTGGGAACCCAAGGGAGGGACGGCAGTAGTGGGTGAGGGGTGCTGGGTATGTGAGTTTTGTGGAGTTCTGGGCTGGGCCGCAGGAGAGGAAGGTGAAGAATTGGGCCGAGTTTGTGGAGCAGGTTGGGTTAAGTGGTGTATAACCAACGGATGCAAACCATCCCCCAAAAAATCATACGAGGTAGATGTTGGAGTATGAAGTTTAGCAAATGGAAAAACATGCTCATCAAACAAGACATGGCGACAAATGATGGTTTTATTAGATGCTAAATCAAAACATTTGTAGCCACGATGATTAGACGGAAAACCCAAAAAGACACAAGGAGTGGACCTTGGTTGTAGCTTATTAATGGTGGTAGAGGGAATAAGAGGATAGCATAAACACCCAAAAACCCGTAAGTGTGAGTATGAAGGAACTCGTTGATAAAGAAGCTCTAAAGGAGACTTATTACCTAACAACTTACTTGGGCGAATATTAAGGAGGTAAGTAGCAATTTGCAAGGCATGATGCCAAAAGGATGGCGGTAGGGATGCATGAGCAAGAAGAGTTCTAGTGACATTATTGATAGTTCTAATTTTTCTTTCGGCTTTTCCATTTTGAGAAGAAGTATGGGGACAAGAGAGACGAAAAGAAAGGCCATTGCGTTTGCAAAACTCCCAAAAAGGACCATTATCAAACTCCCTCCCATTATCACATTGAATATTTTTGACACTTCGTTCAAATTGGGTATGAATATGGGCTTTAAAAGCTAGAAAAGTTTCATACACATCTGATTTCTTGGCTATAGGAAAAGTCCATAAATAATTCGACAAATCATCCAATAATACAATGTAATAACGATGGCCTAAAGAACTCAAAATAGGAGATGTCCACAAATCACTATGAATAATATCAAAAGGCATAAGAGTATGTGAAGTAGATGGAGCAAAAGGCAATTTAACATGTTTGCCATAAACACAAGAATCACAAATGCTAGAGCTAGAATGTTTATTACAATCAAATTTTCTAACAGAAATTAGATTTTTGATGAGTTTAGGAGCATGAAGAACATTTTTTAAAGCAAGGGGAGTAGTAGGGAAAGACAAATTAGTGTGACCATAACCAAGTATAGGAATAGTATGACCATTACCAACAACAATGCCATTATTAGGATGAGTGCTCAAATTAAAATAAGACGAGAAATTACCGGGAGAGGAAGTCATATGAGAAGTAGCTCCAGTGTCCATGTACCAAGCCGGATTAGGTTGAGTGAGAGTCATAGTATGCATCGCAGACTCAATGTCGGTTGGAGCATAAGATGGAGCATAGGACCCGGGCTGCCCATGAGAAGAAGCGGTGTAGGCTTGCTGACCCTGTTGTGGACGTGGACCCAAAATACCAGGCTGCTGCCTTGGTGAGTAATTGGGCCGAGCCCAATTTTGTGTTGGGTAGGGGCATGGTGGCACGGGCCACCCTTGAGGCATCCACCCCCATGGTGGAAACTGCGGCTGCCAGTATGGGGAGGGCTGCTGTCCACCTGAACCACGCGGCGCACCACCGGAACCACCACCGGAAACCTGTCCTGATTTGCCACTGCCGGAGCCGCGACTAGTACTGCCTCCAGAATTTTTCCGGTTGCCGGAATTCTTCCCCTTTTTCTGATTTTTCCTTTTCGAATGGCCATGAGAACCAGAATCAAATTGAGAATTATCAGTTGTAGCAACCATTGCCGAGTCAGAACCTGCTGAAGCTTCTCTGGCCAAGCCGGCCTCCTCCAAGGTGAGCATGGATCGCGCCTGATAAAATGCGGGCAAGGGGTTGCTCTGCCTAATAAGCGTACCCACACCACTATACGCTTTCGTAAGGCCCCCAACCATCTGAAGAACCATTCGACTGTCCGAAACCGGTGCACCGACATTCGGCAAGGGACTTTAAACGCTGACAATAAGCCGAGTCATTCGGAAAGTCCTCCAAACTCGTGGTTGAAAACTCCTGTTCAAGAGTCACAGCCCTGGAATGTTGATTGTCCTGAAAAAGGTCACGCAACCTATTCCATATCTCCATTGCTGTAGTATCCGGTTCGATGACGGTGTTGATAAGGTCAGTCGAGATAGTACCATAAAGCCACGGTGTTGAAGTTTGAATAACTCTGCCCACGTAGAGTATTGTGAATTCGCCATTTCCAATGTAATGGGAATGTTGCTCTTGATGTTAGGCACAGCAAGAGCAGGATGAAATTGAGACTTAGAATCACCCATGGTGAAGAATAGAGAAGAGATGAGATGGAGAAGATGAAATTAGCCGAGGAAAGCAGCGGAAGATGAAAGAAAATCGTGCCCTAGGCAACTGATACCATGAAAGAATGTATGGAATATTTTCCTCAAAGGGATTCTCATTGATCTGTACAATATATAACCGATTACAATGCATAATCTAAGGCTATAAACTAGGAACAGCTATACAAGAATATTTACTTAACATAACAGAAATATATTTACATATATATCTTAAGATTGGGTCTACCCTTTTTGCCCTGTTTCATGATCTTCAATACTCGGTATATTCATGACTAGTCACTTATCAATGTGCTCTTGATCAAATTGCCTCAATTGATTGATTTAGAGAAGAGTGGAGATGGTGATGCTAATAGGAAGCTCAACTTCAGAAGCTTTTAGCATCCACATTATCTCGCTCTATGAACCACTCTGATTTGATCCTGATAGAGAATATGCTAGCCTTCTAGGACCGGATACACTTCTACTATCAGGGGTTATTGATCTGTAGTATAGTCCTCGGTTTCCTTGGTATGAAGATGTCAAAAGACTCATGCTAATTGCTTGTGAGTTTGTGATCTTTCCTGAAGGATACGTTTAATTGTTCAATTATTCGAGGAATTCAACTTTAATTTGTGAGCCCTCGAGGCAGATTCTGAATGAAGGTGTTACAAGAGAGTTCAGATTTTAGTCTGGAATGAGTGAGTAGTTTAGGAGCTTTCAGATATCAAAACTCTTCTTTATGCAGATCATTATCAGAGAGGTAAATGCTACTCATAATAAAGATTTTAAGTTGTATTGTACTCAATTACACGTATAAACCTTTAAACGTATAAACCTTAAAAGGTGTATCTGGTCATGGCATTGTGTGCTAGGGGTTCTGCAGACAGCAAACTACTCGAGCTGTTGTGACTGCACTAATAAACATAGCTCATCCAAAATTCAACTAATGTAATGTATGTATGTCAGACCAGAATTCATTAAGCATACAAAGAAAATTCAAGGAAATCGTTTTAATGAAAGGTGAAATAATTCCAAGGCCCGAGTTGATCTAATTCATATGCTGCTGTTAATTTCTCAGACTGTTCCAATCTAATTCATAGTTGAGAAATTGCTTCATGACTTTCATAGTCCAGCTGATATAGCATGTACTTTGTTGTGAAGGTTAAATTTCTGGCAAGGCCAATACACTGTCTTTTGTTTACTCGACTAGTAGAAACAAATGAATTGATCAAGCTAAGCAATGCAATGATTATAAACCACACCAACGATCAAGATAAACAATGAAACTTCATCCAATTATTTTGTTGAATGTAGTTAACACATTGTTGTTAAAAACCCGAGTAACACCATATATCAGTTTTCCTGTGTATACATGATATTGCAACTACAGGTCTACAACAAATTTTTTAATCATTTGAAAATTTCAATCTAAGCTGCCAAAAAAAAAAGAAAAAAAAAAAAAAGAAAAAAAAAGGAGAGGAAATCGAGAAATAACAAGTCAACAATACAGCTGGTTTTAGGTAGGATTTGTATCTAACTCATTTATGAACCAAGATAACAAATTAAGAAGTTCTTAATCGAATTTTTTTGAATAAAAAATAAGGTTACCATTAAAATTAGAACATGTCACACTGAAATTTTACCCCGAATTTCCCGGATATGATGTCATAAAGATGTCACACTAAACTCATAGGCTGACGAATTGAAATGTTACTCCGTATTAAATTAGCACGATATGGAAACATGATATGATATGGCCACCTCAACTTGAGGATTTGTACTACTAATTATATCAGCAAAACATCACTACATGTCTCAAAAGTCAACTCAATTATAGTACAAATCTTACTTGGTAAAATGGGGGAGAATTTAATTAGTTTGGAGTATTATTTGATCTAGATATCAATAAAGACTTGTATGAATTCATCAATGCAATACACAAATCTCTATATTATCTTAGGAATTCTTTAAAATCATAAGGGCGTGTGGCGTGTCCTCAATATGTACTAGAGTAACGTTTTGAATGTGACATCGGTAATATTAATATGTACGTTCTATAGAGTATTTGATTGGAAAATTGTCTTATTTGACTTTTTTCGCAAATGATAACAAATTTATTTAAACGTTGTTATTAATGTACAGTTAGATATGAGTATTATATACGTAGTATGTATAGAAATTGTAATATTGGAAAACTTTACAATGACATGACTTTCATTGAAAATGGATTTTTTTTTTTTAAATGTAATAATCATAATAAATAATAATTCATTTGTTTCTTTTTTATATTCTAACTTACAAACTTGTAACCCCTCAAAAAAAAAAAAACTTACAAACTTTCAAAGTTGCAATCATTAACAATTTGAGAGATTTTCTATAATACATAAGAAAAATACATATGCTGCATATTAAGTTTTTTTTCGATTTGTATCAATTAAATGAATGTGGTAACAATATCATACTTTTATATTATCCTAGCAACGTGATCCCAAACTAGGTTAGATTCAACAAAAGTGAATTTGTTTATTTATTTTTTAATCCAAACTAATACAGCTAATTCAAGGCTATCAACCTTAAACTTAAATAGTTTACAGTTGTTTGAGTTAAACAACAAATACATCAAACAAACAAAGTTTCTCTTACCAACAAGCTAAAACCCAAAACCTCCAACAACCTTGCAACAATCCACGGGTCGGGTTTACCAGATCTTTGATATATTGATCATCACATCTTTGATACCAGATTACCAGGTATCTTACTCTCACTCTTTCATTTTTTTTTTATTATGTAATTTTGTTGAAATTATATAATTAAGCCAGTTAAATTCAAATTGTGCTAGTACATTGTAATTTGAAGCTCAATTAAAAGTGATTTCAAAAGGGGTGAGTTTATTTGCTTGCAATAATTTTATGCTACATGTCTAAGGTTATAATATCCATATATATATATAGTATATCGGAATTCGTTAGAGGGCATCTGATCAGGGGAATGAGTGTTTTTAGAAATTGAGAGTGGGACGAATATTAGAACTTAGAATGTTGTTGGGGATATATGAAAATATGGATTATTGTGTTGTCTATAGGGATGTACATAGTAATAAATAACAAGTACACACATTCTTATGGCAATAGACATAGTGTTAAATTATGTAAAACCTCAAAGCTTGAATTTCATTGATTACTCTCATCAAAATATATAATACAAGTTATTCCCTAATTTGATAGAATTAGGAAACTCCCTAAAAATATACTCAAAAGATATTATGCCATAAAATAGGTAACAAAATATATCCTAAGATATTCTCAAAATATATCCCTCAATACCCCCCCTCAAGTTGGAGCATGAGGATTGTAAATGCCCAACTTGGAAAGAAGATGATGAAACTGAGACTTCCCAAGCGCTTTAGTGAAAATATCTGCAAGTTGCTCCTTAGTGGAAACATAGGAAGGAGCAATTAAGCCCTCTGTAATGGCATCACGAACAATATGACAATCAATTCAATGTGCTTTGTTCGTTCATGAAAAACTGGATTTCGAGCTATATGTAAAGCAGACTGATTATCACAAAACAACTTGATCGCCTTAGGATGTTGAACACCCAAACTCAAAAGCAAAGCCTTCAACCATTTCAACTCATGTGTGGTAGAAGCCATGCAAAGATACTCAGCCTCAGCAGAAGAAAAAGAAACCGTGGGTTGCTTCTTGGTCTTCCACGAAATAGGAGATTTACCAAGAAAAACTAGCCAACCAGTCAACGAACGACGAGTAAGAGGACACGCCGCCCAATCTGAATCACACCAGCAAAGTCAAGTCACTATCTGCACTCAACAGAATACCCTGTCCCGGGGTACCCTTCAAATAACGAACCACCCGTAGAGCAGCTTCCCAATGCTCAATCTGAGGTTCGTGCATAAACTGGGAAAGAATATGAACCGAATATGCCAAATCTGGTCTAGTCACCGAGAGATAAATCGATCTTCCTACCAGTCTGCGATAAGACTCGGGATTCCCAAGTAACTCACCACTAGCAAGACTAAGCTTGTGGTTCTGCTCAATCGGAAATCCACTGGGTTTTGCACCTAATAAACCTACTTCAGAAATAATATCCAAGGTATATTTTCGTTGACACAAAAACAAACCTGCTTTACTACGAGCAACCTCAATACCCAAAAAATATTTCAAAGGACCAAGGTCCTTCATTTTAAAACAATCACCAAGATAAGCCTTGAAAACAGACAATGCAGCGGAATCATTCCCAGAGACAATAAGATCATCAACATAAACTAGGACATTAATCTGAACTGTGCCTTTAGTGTATGTAAAAAGAGAGTAATCAGAGTAAGATTGAATAAAACCATACCCTTTCAGAGCCGTAGTGAGTTTAGCAAACCAACATCTCGGAGCTTGTTTCAACCCATACAAAGACTTTCTCAAACGACACACCAAGCTCAGATCTGAGCTCTCAAAGCCCGGAGGCAGTTTCATGTACACCCCTTCTTCTAGATCACCATGCAGGAAAGAGTTATGAACATCCATTTGCTGAAGCTCCCAGTTTTTAGCAATTGCTATAGCAAGAAAAGCACGAACAATAGTCATTTTAGCAACCGGAGCAAAGGTCTCACTATAATCAATAAATTCTTGTTGATGATTACCGAAGACAACCAAACGAGACTTGAGACGTTCAACATCACCATTAGATAAATATTTTGTCTTGTACACCCATTGACTGCCTAGAGCTCTCTTCCCGGGAGGAAGATGCTCCAATGTCCAAGTCCCATTGTCTTCCAATGCTCGTATTTCTTCTTGCATAGAATGACGCCAACCTTCATATTGCATGGCTAAAGGATTTTGGATCCTTTCCTAGAACAACAGCTGCAAGAAACTTGCGATAATTCACAAAAAACATGTCACAATTTATATAATGTGCTAAAGGGTAAGGCGTACCTGAAGGAGTATTGGATGACGGAGAGGACGGAGACGGAT